CATCAATAATAGGGGTGGCGGCGATTGCTGCACGGGCAGCAATGTTGGCGGTCCATCGTTCTCTGCGCTCCTCTCCGCGAAGCCGCGCCTCTCTGCGCGCTCTTCTTCTCTGGGCTCTGCCCGCAATAGCCGGCTGCACCGCGCAATCAGCTGATCGCGGCCATTTATTTTTCTAATTTAGCTGTTATTCTACTTCCTGAACGCCAGAAAAGTGAGGTAAGTTCATATTATTCAATCTAATTTTAGGTATTATTGAATATTTAGCTTTTAGTCGTTATTTCACTGTTGCAACGGTGTTTTTGCCCACTTTTTGATTTTGTTTAGGTTTTCTCTTGTTTGTCCTTTGAATATTGGACCTGCTCTCCATGGCGGTGTCGTGATGTGTCCTTATTAGTGCCAAGGACACTCTCTGACACGATGTTATTTAAAAATCGTAACGCCACTGTGCGTCGCGGTCGCGTCACGGCGTCAGCGGAGCGCGCCATTGGTCAGTGGAGTTCGGAGATTCCAGCAGTGTTCTCCTGTATGTGAAAGAAGAGAATCTCGTTTTCTGTCCACCAGTAAGTTGAGTGTGTACATTAAGCTAGACCAAAGAAGCACACGAACCTCATACCTGGTTCCCCTTGGGGAGTGGTGCGAGGTGAGTCTTCGGCAGAGTGGGTGTATGGGGAGGCTTCGCGCAACTGAGTGCTGAACTGTTCGTGTTAGGGTACCCAGGGGAGATCAACAGCGAGAATACCACTGAGTCCAATCCATGAAAACGGTTGAAAGTTCGAAATTGTTCTTTCGGTGGTGCTTTTCAAACATGCATTGGCGGGATACTTCAGTCCTTTTTTCTATTTTTGAAGCTGATGCCTTTTTCCGTCTGCATGGTGCTATGAACAAACACTGCAGAGAAAGATTGGGCTGAAACAGTGTGGATGCAATGGTGAGGGCGTACTTAGTAGCTCGCATAGTCAAGCTGTCGAGCATTGAAGGCTAGTATTGGTTACCCATAATAGGTGCTGCGAAAGCAGTTCAAAGTTCATGAAGTGTTCGGGTTAGGGAAGTCCTAGAACTGCTTATATCGGCTCGACGCTTCACGAAATAGTAATACACGATAAGGAAGCCCAGTTCTACCCAGCTGTTGTGCGTCGCCCGCATGTTCAAATACCTGAGAACAATTAATTCATCTATCGCTTTATGAAAGTCAAATTGAGGTTTACTGAATCCACTCGGTGAACAGAAAAACGAGTGTCTCTTTTCCTACATAAAGGAGACACGCATAGGCAATTCACCCGTCCGACCTAAGAGCATTAATTCAATTTACTGGCTGCGGCGCGCTCCGCTGACGCCGTGACCCGCCCGCGACGCACAGTGGCGTTACGATTTTTAAATAACATCCTTCTGACACTGTTCTGGTAGATGCGGTCTTTCTGAAATGCCACTTTCCCTATTTTTTTGCCGCTGTGGCCGTAATTTCTGTCGCCCTGTGAGTTTACTCTTTCGTTTTTTGTTTTCTTTTTTTTATTGACTCACTCTTCATTATAGAGTCATTGTTGTGTTCTTTTGCATGATGAGAACACACTTTGACTCTGTTTTGAAGCTTGATGTCGCTCTTGGAATCATTGTTTCACAGGTCTCGCCCATCCGCCGTTCTTTTTCCCGTTCCGTGCGTTTCCTGCTCTATTATTTCATTCTTTCTTTTTTCATTTGGACTCATTCTTGTCTTTGTTGTGTTCTTTTGCATGATGAGACGTTACATAGCAATTCTTTTTTCAGAGAGTGCATCCTTAGTTAGCGCTTGCCTCTCTCGCTGTATTGCTAGACGCCTACTCTGCGCCACTGTGCCTTGTTGTCCCTCTACGTCGCTTACAATAGCCGCCTTGCTTCTGTTTGCAGCGCTGTATTTTACTAACACTTTTTATTCAAATGACTTTTTTGTGATTCATGGTGCTTCGGGTGTCAAGTTACTGGCCGACCAAGTTGTCACTAGACAAGGTTACCTTTTTCGTCTTTTTGTACAAAGATACCATAGGAAACTCTTTTTCACCATTTTTGCTCTTCTATGCCGGCCCTATCAATAAAACTAGATTAATAGACTATATGGCCAGTGCAGAGTTGCTTACAATCCAAGTCACAATACATGAACTGCCCAAGCTATCAAATATTTTGGCCTATTTTCGATCGAAAATGCACTAAAAGTTTCACCTTTCAGCCTCTTTTTCGCGACATCCAAAATGAGCGGAGTGCGAAACTTCGTGAGTACAAGATTGGTTCTGCGTTTATCAACTTGCCTGTCAGTGTTTAAGGAGGTTATCTTATTTTAATCATAAAAGTTTGGCAGTCCACCATTGCCCGTACGCTATCGCCTGACGCAGACGTATGAAGTATAACGCCGTGCGTACGATAGGCGCTTAGTGGATTTTATGTGATGTTGGTTGATGCAGTATCCTTCATTGAACTGCTTTTAGAGAGCCGAGACCGTGTCACACCCAGCATGTCCGCAAGTGAGGGATTGCCTTTTGCACTGCCATTTGGCAAAATATTTCGCTTGACATGCTAGTCAGTAAGCGACGAATCCAGCTCTGAAGCACGCTGAATACTAACCCCGGAAGCGAGGACCGTCATCGCTCACCTCAAGCAGTTTTTCGCAAAGCTGAAGGAACATCTGGGGTCCACCTCGCGTGGAACCATTTTCGACTCATTGTCAGTGACTGCGATAACTGCCACGGCATGTGGTGTGAGCGACACGACTGTTACTAGAGTTAGCTTCGAGACCTATCGACCTGCGCCGGTGCGGGCGGTTTGCAAGAGCCGCTCGCGTAAGGTAGCAGTGGCGACTGCAACGACTAACTTTGGTGCAGAATGGGGAGAGCGGATAAAACGGCAGGTGCACGGTATGCTGAGAGAGGAGAAGGATGTCGCGATAGCGGAGTTGCGTCGGCAAATACAGGAGGCCTAACTTTTCGTTGTCAGCCATGACGCTTTGGAGGCTAGTAAAAGGTCTCGGATTCTCGTACAAGATCGTCAAAGGGCAGCGTTTCATATTTGAACGCTTGGATCTTGCCCGCAAGAGATCCTTGTCATTTGAGGAAAGTCGATGAGGCTAGGACTAGAGGGGACTGCGTGGTCTATATGGATGAGACGTGGGTGTTCGAAGGTATGGTGAAGAGGAGAGGTTGGGTAGATAACACCATGTCGCGTTTTCCCTCCGCCGAGGCGATACAGCAGTACTCTTGTGGCAAAACTGCTGGGAAGAACAAAGGGAGGCGCGGCATCGTTATCACGGCATTGTGTGAAGAAGGAATCATACCGGGTAGCACCCACGTCCTCGTGAGCGGACACCGGACCGCGCAGGGCGATTTCCAGCGAGAGATGGACCACTCAGTGCTTCGAGGAATGGCTGGAATCGTCAATCCCTCTGATGAAGGAGTTCGCAGCAGGGCGGAATATTACTCTAGTGCTCGATAACGCTCCTTACCATACTAGAGCTCTAGAGAAGGTGAGAGTGAAAGAGATGCGCAAGTTACAAAACATGACATTGGTCATCAGATTCCGACGAGACGCTCCACGATACAGGAGATGACCAACTATCTCAACTCGCACGGCGTCGAAGTGGCTGCCGACAGTACCAGAGCTCGGAGCGAGCGTTGCGACACTGCCTTATCTCCCTCTTTACTCAATGTTTAGCTTGACCATTTCGTCGCCAGTCGAGGCGGTGTGGCAGCCTTGCGTTGCTACGCCGCTGAGAGGATTTGCGAGGAGATGGGGGTGAACTTGCTTCGGCTCCCCCATTTCACTGTTATTTCAACCCCGTGGAGCTGTGCTGGAGCTACCTGAAGTACGGCCTCAACAAGATTGGGAAACCCACGGATAGGCTGGAAACAGTAATGTTTTCTGGGACGCAGGTTTTACACGTGTGTGATAATGCAACATGAATATTCTGTCGTTCAGGTCAGAATGAGGGCAGTGGAGATATTGGGGAGAGTGTCCAGGGACCTCTGCGAGGCCTGGTGTGGGAAGACGTTAGAGGAGGAGGACTCCGCGCGATTGAAGGAGGCTTTGGATGCCAGTTATGGTGATAAGGGCGCTGAAGAGCCCTCATCATCTGACAGCGACCTGTCAGATGATGTGATCAGTGGCTATAGTGTCGAGCTGTGAATATTTCTTTGGTTGTTTTTGTAGATTCTATCAGTACCATAACGGGTTATTTTTGTTGTTGTTACTATCACGGGTTACTTCTTTTACTACTACTATCACGGGTTATTTTTGTTGTTTTTACTATCACGGGTTACATCATTTACTGTACTATCACGGGTTATTTTTGTTGTTGTTACTATCACGGGTTACATCTCTTACTGCTACTATCACGGGTTACTCATTAATCACTACTTCGCTGTTTTCTTTACTACGGGTTTTGTTACCCTTTCTCTTGTTTGTTACCACTGGTTTGATACCACTTGTTCGATACCACTTCTCGTTTCTTGTTAAAATGTTAATTGTTGTGATTCTGAGCTTCTTGGTCGTTATTAATCTAGTTGGTTATGGAGTCTTTCCTAACGGTGAATACCTATTTTCCTAAGCTTCTCTACCCTTTTAGCATTCCATATCTATTCGTCCCTTTATTACGGTTTTTTTTCTTTCTGACATCCTATATGACACACAGGCGATGCGGTCAACAGGATTCTCCTTGCATGCGAAATTGGTCCTGTTTAAAGAATTCTCGAAGCAGGTACGAGAAAAGAACGTTACTGATGTGGATGGATACCCGACGTCGCAATTTAACTCCTGCTGAAGTCAATGGTGCTCTGCACGACGACCAGTGGGTTGTGCCGTGGAATCCGTACCTGATTCTGAAGCATGACTGCCACATGAATTTGGGAATCTGTGGCATGATATCAGCCGTCAAGTACCTTTACAAGTATGCTTCATAATGGACAAGATCGTTCTCGAATCGATATTGAAACCGATCGAATTAAACAACAATGGGATTGTGACGCGATCAAGAAACATCTTAATACACGATATGTGCATCAGAAAGCATTATAGGATCTTCGGCTTCAAAATGCGAGACATCAAATCGGCACATCGGCGTCAGATTCATGTGCACCGCCTGATATTCCAGACGTGTGTTTATGTGCAGGGACAAGAACACAGCGGTACTTATGACTGGGCTGGCTCTATACTATCAAATTCTGGAGCACTTCACTTTCAAGCAGCGCAGTGGTTGGTCACACTGGAAGGCTCATTGGACGGATGTACACGGTTTCGCCTCACCATGAATGCGCTGCCTGCTGAGTTCTTCTTGGATATAGAGGGAAAGAGTTCATCCGAAGGACTGCGAACTGTAGACGACTTAACATTGGAATCCTTCGCAGAGGCTGCTAAGCGTGGGGGTTCTTCGATGATGACCGTTATTTTCGTCGAAGTTAAGGGAAGCAGTCCACTACCAGACAGCATGCATCCGAAGCTTCCTTGGCCTAATCGCCTCTGCTTTTTGCGGCCTTGCTAGCAGCGCGCAGGATTTGCTGGAACGAGCTTTTCACGCATGAATGTCAGATGATGTAAGATGGCGCGGAGGTGTAGTGAGAAGTGGCACGCTTACCACTAGTGCGGCGCCTTGTTTGAATACCGGGTCGACTTCCGCTCAGGCCAACCAAGCTTTCTACCTTCCGGGACGGTAAATTTCCCCACAACCCGGCGTACCAGATTCGTCCTGGCAAAAGAGCGCATAAAACACTGACTTGTATATCGGTTGGCCACTGCCGCAAGTATAGGCGTAGAATGCGTGCCGCTTCCCACAAAAGGATTGAGTCAGATGACTTCGTTCATCGAGAAATCGGCGAAGCAAACTGCCAATTGCATCACATACCTTGATGCTCTCGACCGACTGGCTCTTAGGGGCAAGCATCTTATGGAGACAGTGCTGTCTCCTGTCGGTGAACGTCCACTGGAAATATCTTCTGTAGTGGATAATGAAGAACACGAGAGGCTCAGTCCTATATGAAACTCTCAATGAAAACGCGCCCAAAGGCCTGGGCCGCCCAGACCAAATTTATCACGCACTGCGACAGGATCCTAGGCCAACAGATGCATATTTATAGATGGCCATGGAGGAAGTGGGGAAAACCTACTCATATAACACGATGCATGATATCGCCATCGGACGACGACTTCAAGTAGTTTGTGTCGCGTGGACTGAGATAGCAGCAAATCTCCTGCCTAGAGGAAGAACTGTAAGTTTCCTTTCCACGTTCAACATTGCAGACGGTAACAGAAGTTCATCTATGAAGCGTCAACAAAAGGAGGCAAGGGAAACAATGGCCGTAGATATGATAATTTGCCCCCACAAATCCTATCCGCAGCCTCATCGTGGCGTGGGGGTGAACGGTTTTGGACTGTTCCAAAAACGTACCAATGCGGAGGGTGCCACGTCAGAGCCTGGCGAGCTACGCGTGGTTAATTTTCTTCTCGCCGAAAACAGTAACAACTATGGGCCTCATTCCCCTGAAGCTGAGGGAACCACCGACAGGGCGACGTCGGCTGGGACCGCTCGGACGAGGCTGCTAAAATCACAGGGCCAACGGAGTTTTAAGTCGCCCAGGACTAGGATGACGATCTGTACTTTCAACGCACGGACGCTTGCATCGGAAGCTCACATCGAAGATCTGATGTTGCAAGCCAGGAAGATCAAGTACGACGGTCTCGGACTGACCGAGACGAGGAGGCATCGCCCGCTACACGCCGTGTACGAGACTGGAGAAGAACTGTTCCTCGGAACATGCGACAGCAGAGGCGTTGGCGGTGTGGGCGTCCTCGTCAACACGCACTTGGCCATGAACATCGATTCGTACGAAAGTCTGACGACCCGAATCGGACGTTTGCGATTGAGAAGATGTGGTTCAACTCCAGCTTTGACAATCTTCGTCGCCTACGCACCAACATCAAGCTACGACGAGGATGAGCTCGAAGCGTTCTATATGGAATTGGAGAAGTTCTACAAGGAAGATCATACCTTCTTCAAGGTCATCGTCGGTGATTTCAACGCTAAGATCGGACCAAGAAGAACGGCTGAAGAACTTCACATCGAAACTCACGGAAGGAACGGAGTGGAATGAGCAGGGTGAAAGGCTGTCTGAGTTTATCATGTCGACCCACACCATCCATGGTAACTCGCAGTTCCAGAAGCCCTACTCTCTACGCTGGACATGGGAGTCTCCTGGTGGACAATTCCATAACGAGATCGACCACATCATCTGCAATCGAAGGTTTTGCCTAACCGATGTCGCTGTTGTCCCTAAGTTCTACACGGGATCCGACCATCGTCTCCTTCGCGCAAGATTCCGCTTTTCGATGCGAGGAGAGAGAGCCGCAAAGTTCAAGAAGCGAAGCCCCAAGACCACCATCAACTGGGATCACTTCACTTCTCTCGCTGGGGACTCCGGATCTCCCTCTCTAATAAGGAAACCAAAAGTGTACGTGCTACTCGACTGGTAAAGAAAAAAAAACAGACGAAATCGTCGAAAACGTCCCAAATAAGGCCCTACTTGTGCCGAGCGACATATAAAGAATTGATGCAGATATCGGACGAGAGGTCAGGGAAAGCAGCGAGGTTGTAAGCTCAGCGCTCGCTGCTGCGATTACGATTTGAGCTTGCAGCAGTAAGCTCAGAAGTGAGGAAGAGCGGCAAATTAAGTATTGTAATCGCCCATAACGACGTCATGAATTAATAAATAAACGAAACGCAATGTATGCACGGATCTTTCTGGTCCGTCGGAGTACATCTGCATGTACGGCAGTCGACTCTGGATGAACTGTTTCCTATAGCTCCAACGGAATTTCTTTTTCAGTTTTAGAAAAGATCACCTATGAAGAAAATTATGGCTGTTGGAAGCATGAAAACTCGTATGTGAGACTAGATTACAACAACGGGGGTAATTTTCTGAAGGGAGGGGGGGGGGGAATGTTCGCAGCGAACTTTGTAGTAGCTTAATATATACCATTTTCACTTCAAATTCACCACTTTCCAGGCCAAATTCGCCACTCTTCTTCGACCAAGCAACCAAATCACGCCAGACACCACCGCGAACCCTGCCCCGACGGTCACGCCTACTTGTCAGCGCGGACATAGATTTTCAACACATGACTGACTCCGCCCATTCTTTAAAGTTTGTTGCGAACTTCAAATCTTCATAACTTTTTCAATTTTTAATTTCACATCCACTCTTCGCACAACGAAGGTACTCGTAGACGGCACCGGCAATTTAGGCTCCGCCCCTTTGGCCACGCCCACTTGCTGTTTGCGGAATTATGATATTTTTCAAAATTTTTGCATTTTTGGACTGCCCCGTGAAGCCCCGCCCACTATGAGAGGCTCCGCCCACTTTTCAAAAATGGTGCAGATCGGCAGTATAGAGCCTTGGCTTGCATGCTAGGGTCTCGTCCGTCACTCGGAACAAATAAATCAGGCAAAGTTTGTTCCTTGCCATGCAAGCCAAGGCTCTATACTGCCGATTGCACCATTTTTGAAAAGTGGGCGGGGCTTCTTCGAAGTGGGCGGAGCCTCTAATAGTGGCGGGACTTCACGGGGCAGTCCAAAAATTATTATTGCTGCTTTTAAGAACTCCGCTGAGAATGAGGATGAAGTGTCATGGGTTTGAAAACCTATGAGAAGAATAGAGTTAAGAGCTCACATTTCTCTGACCAACAAGGTTTCATCTCTCGGTACTCTTTAGGTAGGAATGAAGTACTCATGGAAGACAAACCATGAAATACCTACACCCTCTTTCGTTCTACCACTGATCATCGTCTTCTAGAAGATCAAAAACCACAACGGCGCCATCGAAAACCACCAGGCAGCTGCCAGTGCCTGCGTATCACTAAAAGCAAGACCGCTTCCATAGAGGTTGGCGCTTTTATATTTGACGAGTCAGACTCGTAAGTGGAGTACGGTACTCAAGTGATATTGTGATACGCGTAGAGATACAGATACTCGCCAACGAGTAAGTTCTGGATTGCTTTTACAAGGAGTGGTAGAGGCGAGACTTCGCCTTCCACGGTTCGAGGTAATCGAGGTTCGATCCACCCAAGACAGTTATTATCAAAATTAGTAAGGGTGTTAGGGTTTACTAGATCACAATAACCCAGACCTCTCCCTGTAGGGGTTGGCGCTTTTACATTTGACGAGTCAGACTCGGTAAGTGGAGTGAGTACTCAAGTGATATGGTGATACGCGTAGAGATACAGACACTCACTTCTCTGTCGATTCTTCCGCAGTAGCGGATCGGGCTAACCGAGTAAGTCTGGATTTGCTTTTTACAAGCGACGTGGTAGAGGCGAGGACGTCGCCTTCCACGATTTCAAGGTAATACGAGCGTTTTGCATCCAGCCCAGACAGTTTAGGTGCTCAAACTTTATACAGAGGCTTGATCAGAGCCTTACCTTAGGACCTACAATAACCAGGCGGAAACACACCTTTTTTTCTTTCCCCGGGTAGGTGTTGCGCGCTTTTACATTTAACGATCAGACTGGGTAAGTGGAGTGCCAGTACTCAAGTAGATTATCTGTGATACCGCGTAGAGATAGAGATACTCATTTCTCTGTCGATTCTTCGCAGACGGTCGGCCAACGAGTAAGTTCTGGATTGCTTTTACAAGGAGTGGTAGAGGCGAAGACGTCGCCTTCCACGATTCAAGGTAATCGAGGTTTGATCCACCCCAGACAGTTATTGTCAAATTTAGTACAGAGGTTTCAGAGCTTCTTAGACTACAATAACCCAGACCTCTCCCGGTAGGGGTTGGCGCTTTTACATTTGACGAGTCAGACTGGTAAGTGGAGTGAGTACTCAAGTGATATGGTGATACGCGTAGAGATACAGACACTCACTTCTCTGTCGATTTTTCCGCAGACGGTCGGCCAACGAGTAAGTTCTAAGTTGCTTGTCGACAAAATGTGACGCGCCGGCTTTGATTAGTTACTAAGAGTAGTGAAGAGGCGGGACGTCGCCTGCCACGGTTCGGGATGAGTCGAGGTCCGATTCACCAGACAGTGATTTTCAAAGTTAGTACAGGGGTGTTGGAGTTTTCCAGACCCCCAAAATTCAGACCGCTTCCAGTCAGCAGGTGGCCACCGACGCTTTCATATTTTGACGACTGAGACTCGTAAGTGGAGTACGGTACTCGTGTGATATGGTGATACGCATACAGGGACGGATACTCATTTCTCTGTCGATACCTCCGCAGACGGTTGCCACGATGTTTTCCAGACCCCCAAATTTCAGACCGCTTCCACTAGCACGGTTGACGCTTTTTCATATTTGACGACTGAGACTCGTAAGTGGAGTACGGTACTCGTGTGATATGGTGATACGCATACAGGGACGGATACTCATTTCTCTGTCGATACCTCCGCAGACGGTTGGCCAACGAGTAAGTTCTAAGTTGCTTGTAGACGAAATGTGACGCGCCGGCTTTGATTAGTTCTAAGTTGCTTGTAGAAGGCCAACGAGGTAAGTCCTAAGTTGCTTGCAGACAAAATGTAACGCGCCGGCTTTGATTAGTTACTAAGAGTAGTGAAGGCGGGACGTCGCCTGCCACGGTTCGGGATGAGTCGAGGTCCGATTCACCAGACAGTGATTTTCAAAGTTAGTACAGGGGTGTTGGAGTTTTCCAGACCCCCAAAATTCAGACCGCTTCCAGTAGAGGTTGACGCTTTCATATTTGACGACTCAGACTCGTAAGTGGAGTACGGTACTCGTGTGATATGGTGATACGCATACAGGGACGGATACTCATTTCTCTGTCGATACTTCCGCAGACGGTTGGCCAACGAGTAAGTTCTAAGTTGCTTGTAGACAAAATGTGACGCGCCGGCTTTGATTAGTAACTAGGAATCGGCGTTAAGGATAAAACCCCTCAATTGTGCACGATGAACAGGCAGGCAACCACAGAGGCTGTACTGTATAAAAAATGTCGAAAGTTAGCAGCTAGTGCACTCGATTTCAGGCCCGTTGGCCCCAAATAGGCCCATGCCGGCTTATGTCGAAGGTGTTATATTGAAGATGCCATTGGGCTCTCTCGCCTGCCATTTTCGGGATCTTGCCATTGTGCTTTCTCGCCGGCCGTTTCGGGGTCTTTCTCTTCTCCAGTCACTGTATCGTCGCCTTTTGCAGACCACAATTGATCTTGATCATCTTATGCTCGTCCGGTGATCACGACAATAGCAATAAAGAGGGTCTTGTTGCGGGCGGTTTTCGAGCTTCCCTCTTCTTGAGTAAGTCAACAAGCACACGGCAATCCTATTTTTGAACTGTATCATGTATAATGTGCGGTCGCGGGTACTATCTTCAAGATGGGAAGCTACGGCCCGATTTTAAGCAGGTGGAAATTCAAAATCAGAACGATTTTACTCTTTTTGTACCACTGCGTGTTATGTGAGCTAGTTAGGGACCGTCACCCTCTTCGGAAACTCCTGGTAAAGTCAAATTTACGCGTGCGGGAAGACCTGGCAGCCATGCCATCTAAATACCAATACGCCGCGTCCGCGCTTTATTGCCTTGGGGCGCGTTTTTTAGAACGCCCTCAAGTAAACTCAGTGCAGACCGTTGGGAAAGACGAAAACGCAGTCGTGTGGAAAAGGATATGGGCGTCCAGAAAAATACTGATTATTTATAAGGTTGCCAAGTTTAGAGGGAAACTAGGCGGGGGTTGGGTTGGGGATTTTCAAAATCGGATGCAAAAAGTCCTAAACTCAACCACTTCACTTGTTTCTAGTGTTTGGTTTCATGAGAACAACGCGTTGGGGATTTTCTGAGGAACACTCCGAGCAGCGCGAAAACGCCGTTTTCTGTGTACCGTTTCAAGTGGGCGTATTCGGATATCCAGAAATGCATCTAAAATGCATCCCTTCGTGGAATAGGAACAAACAGTAGTTAGTTTAGCGCCCATTAGCTTCATTTCTGGATGCGCCATGCTTATGCAAACCATGCAGAGATAGTGGGATGGCGCAAGCTCTACGCAATGCCTGTCTACGTGAGCAGATGTGTTTGTAGGATTTGGAGAGGTTGCCGTTCTCCATAGCGGATGATGCGGAGTGGCCGCCCCATCCGCAACGGAGAACGGCAACCGCACGCCATCAGATCCGTGCTCCACCACTTGCTAACCGCATAAGAGAACAACTGCTGAAAAACGTCTGATATGAACGATATGGCTGCGTTTATACTTTGCGGCAGCGTAGCGTAGCGCTTCCAGCGTACGCCAGCGGCAGTACTGGGGAGGGGTATGTGACAAGAGGATCGTAATTTGACGCGTAGCTGGGCGTCGCGTGCGACGTCCCGCCCGCAAAGGACGATGGTTTCAGGCAGTAGATGGCGACAACATGCAATTAAGGACCGAAAACAGTAATGAGTGTCTACGATGACGGGGTCTACATGAAGTCCGGTGCTTCATTCGACAGGTTAAAACGAGTTATGAAAACGCCGCCGCGCCTATCGCCATCGCGAGTGCCGATGCGAATTACAATCCTCTTTACCGTCCCCCACCGGGGAGAGGATGCATATCGATCTAGCGTTCCCAGCGTCACCAGCGTAACGCTAGCGTTACGCCAGCGTTTCTCCAGCGTTTCACCAGCGTTTTGCTAGCGTTTGCAGCGGCAGGGGAGTAGAGACTATGGGAGAGCTGGAGGGTACAAAACACATCGATTGCGCGTCTCTCACGGCCACATAGTCTCTACAATACACATCGATTGCGCGTCTCTGACGGCCACATAGTCTCTACAATACACATTCTGCGCGTCTCTGACGGCCACATAGTCTCTACAATACACATCGATTGCGCGTCTCTTACGGCCCCATAGTCTCTACTCCCCTGCTGCAAACGCCAGCAAAACGCTGGTGAAACGCTGGAGAAACGCTAGCGTACGCTAGCGTGACGCTGGTGACGCTGGGAACGCTAGATCGATATGCATCCTCTCCCGGCACTGCCGCTGGCGTACGCTGGAAGCGCTACGCTACGCTGCCGCCCAGAAGTATATAACAGAGCCCTATGATACCTTATTGTTGTGCGCAAGAAAATAATTGACGGAGGTGCGGACAAGCGCCCTCGCTCGCGACACGACCATCACGCAGCGGCACCAGATATGATAGTCTCCTTGGATCAGCTATGTGCAATACGAAAATGCCAGCTTATCAGTGTTTCCACTTAATTTGGATTAGTTCACTTAATGAAGGTTTTGCGCTACTTTTTTACACATTTGGGTTCTCTACAAAGCAAGTTTCGCTATACAGAACCAGCATAAACCATTGCGCTGCTCAGTACTGAGTGAAGGCCTATTTACGACCCACCCCTCTTCCCAGCGGCCAAGTACCACCCTCTGTTGGGGAATCCCCAGCAGAGGGTGGTACTTGCGCGGGCCCTGGGCTCGGAAACAATAAGTGGCCGACGGTCCAACAGAACAGCGGACCTTGGGACGGTGCGGGACTAATGCTAGCCAAAAGAAGAAGAAGATGAGTAGTTTTTCTGTCGATGGTTTCGTTGGTTTTCGTACGTTTCTCTTTGCAATGGATGATATTTACTACTGGGAGTAAGGAAAAACGATTTGTGAGCGGTTGCGAAAGACCACAGGGCGATGTGAGTGTCAGAGTCAGAAAGTCAGCGATCCTGTTATGATGCTCTTTAAGATCCTTCTTGCTTTTTTCATTTCTGAGGATTTCTACAGGTATGTTTCATAACTGAACAACAACTAGCCATGATTCCTTATCGCGGGAAACTGTTGTGAATCGCGAGTATGATCACGCTAAACTGGACATATACTGCGAGCCCAACATTTTTCAGTTTTCAATCGACAAGTGGTACCGGTATTATGTATTCGCACTGTTCTTTTCACTTCTCGTTTCTCGACAGCGCGCTTGCTCGTCCATTATTGTGAGTAATCTGGGAAGACACTTTCACGATTTTTCTACCGTTTCCGTTTACAATGACATCCCTTTCATTCCAGACGATGCAAATGAGATTTTGAATCAACTGTACCATCTTGACCAACGCTGATTTGCGATACATCGATATATTCGACACAGAAAAAAAAGTTCGCGATATAGAGGGCCCTGGCCCTGACAAGGTTTGAATTTTCGTTGCTCGTTCTTTCATCATATCTTGAGCATTCGGATTCCAAGGAATCCCACAAATGAGCATAGACTGACGCCACCCGCTATGCTCCTTGTGCTGCCGTCTTAAGGGAGTTTTTTTGCCAAGTATAATCCCTTCAGAAGTTTCTCTTCTGGTGCGACCCCTCGTTATCTCCCCTCCTACGTACGATCTTCTCATATCCTCACACTCCTTCCCCAATGCTCTAAAAATCAAGAAGAATCATCAGCCGAATGCATTAGCTGCTGAGGCAAAGACGACCCCTCGCTCGATCCCACAGCTTGCAACAGGCAGCGCATGAGCTATATCAGCGGCCTTGCAGTGTCTTCAGCCCATGAAACGATACGTTCGCCATTGGCCGCGGTGCGTCGGATAGGTGCTTTTAAATGGTCCCCCTAGAAAAGCTACTTTATTATCAAACGAAACAAGTTTTCTGCCGTTTTCGAATATCGTGGCCCTCCGACGGAATACACTGATGTGTTGAGCAGACGTCCGTACAGTGCAACAGTAATGCGACTTTTGAGAGTTCTATCTTAGTGCACATCGTTGTTGATGATTCCGGAACAGGGGCGGGGGTCGTGTTTTAGCTGGAAAATAGTTTTGATCGTTTCTTTTTCTTGGTCCAGAGACATGGTAGTCCTATTATGGTTGTGGGGAGAGTGTCGGGTTTCCTTATTCTTGTGTACTACACGCCCTCCTTTCCGCAGCTCGATGAGGCGGGAAGCAGGTGGGGGGGGGGGGGTGGAACGGGCTTGACCAAAATCTCCAGCAAATGATACGCCGTGTACTCCTTACAGTTTGTATACAAAGAAATCTACTTTTCGGTAGTGGAGGGCTTATAGGCGGTTGACGACTGTCATTTACATCCGAGTTTTGTCGCAAGACTGCGGATCATAGTCGGATCCCCCTGACAGCTTTGAGAATGGTGGAGTCTTCTACATCGCGGGCATCCCAACCGAGTTTCCCTTCGAGATCGCGTCTCTTTTCGCGAAGCGAGCGAACCAAAGATGGACAGTCCTGACGGTAGTGGTGTCCTCCCCAATGCACTGCTGATGTTGCGGACAGCTGCCGCTGCACCGGTGCCCCTCGGCGTCTGATCATAATGAACCGAAGTAGCTTCTCTGAAACTGACATCGTAATTAGACCCAGGAAAGTGCAGGCGCCCTCACACAACTCTCGAATAAGCTCTTAGGATGTTTTGAAGGCGGGCATGTTATGCTGCCATTCTGGCATGCCATGTTCGAGCGTAAACAACCGAAATGTGTACGCTTTTCAAAAAATACCAACAGGACTTTCCTTCCAACCTTATACTTTTGAAGCACCACAAAATTTGTGTGCAATAAGGACTGTACTTTGGATATGTATTAGTATTATTATTATTATGTAGATTCATCTAGTAGTGACCTTCGGAAGTTTGTTAATGTACATATCATTGATTTCAACACCCTAGACAAATTTGGGTTCAATTCTGGGGAGGGGGTGAGAGTGCAACCAGGGTGGATTATCTGATCTCATCTGCCATCCCAGGCTTGCAACATACCGCTGCACAGGCAGCCTTGGCGTCGTTCGAACGAGGAACGTTATTTCGCGGTCGCGCCGTGCACGAAAGAAATATGCGTTGCAGGCGGGGTGACGCTGCAGCAGCCTACCCTGCTCTTCCTCTTCTTCTTCTTAACGTTGTCCCGCTGGTGCAGGATCCGTTTTCCGGATCGATGATCGCCACTTTGCTCGGTCTAGTGCATCCTCTTTGTTCAGGTCGACAGTTTTCATGTCCGCGTTGATTGTGTCCTGCCAACGTTGTTTAGGTCTTCCTCTGAGCCGATGGCCATCCACTTTAAAATGATACGCCGTGGCAGCGACGGTATGGGGCGCGGCGCGCACGACGTGTCCATACCACTGAAGCCGTCGTTCTCGCATCTTCTCTGCAATTGACACCACGCCCATCTGCCGGCGGACGACATCGTTACAAATGCGATGAAGGCGTGTACCCCTTGTAAATTGCAGCATCCGCATTTGACGTTCTGCGCTTCTTGTAATCGGCCAGCATTCGGATCAGTATGCAACCGGGCGGACCATTGTGCGATATATCTTCGATTTGAGGCGAGTTGGCATGCGTCTGTCGCACAGTACTCCAGTAATCTCTTTCCATCGCGTCCACGACGCATTTATTCTCGCTCGTATCTCATCATCCAGACCACCACCGCTTTGAAGGCGAGATCCTAGATATCTGAAGGAGATAGTCTTCGGTAAGTCTTCACCATTAACTTGGATGGTACCATCGCATGCGTTGGTTTCCAGATATTCTGTCTTCTTGATGTTGAGACGAAGACCATAGCGGCTCAGACGATCGTTCCACATCTGGACCTGACGTTGAAGTCCCATTCTGTTGAGAAAGATATCATCAGCATAAAGCAGAGTCCACGGCGTTTCATTTTGCAGGTCCCGTGTGAGCGTGTCCATGACGAGAATGAAAAGCAATGGCGAGAGCGCTGATCCTTGATGAACGCCTACGTTTATTGGGAAGCTATTTGATAAGCCGGCTGCGCATCTCACTCGGCTGGTGGTGTTTGTATATAACATCCGGATCCAGTTGATAAGAGCTTCAGGCACACTATGTTCACGAAGTGCGTACCAGATTAATTGATGAGGTACGCGGTCGTACGCTTTTTCAAGGTCCAGAAAGGCAACATGAAGTGGTTTTTGTCTCTCCCTATGTTTCTCCATGAGCAGACGAGCAGCAAAGATTGCGTCGGTTGTTCCAGAGCCTTTCACAAAGCCGCACTGGTTACTGGTCAATGTCACCATATCGCGTAGTCGTCGGTCGAGGATTCGCTCGAAGATTTTCATTGTATGCGATAACAGGCGGATAGGGCGATAGTTAGAGCATTCAGCAGATCTCCTTTATTCTTAAATATTGGTACTGTTATGCTCGTTGCCCAGTCGCTTGGTGCCCTGCCTGAAGTAACAATGACGTTGAGGAATTGTGTAAGCCATGGGATCCCAAACCCGCTCTGACGCATTTCCTTCTTTTCCACTCTGCAGGTATGTCGTCTGGTCCTGGCGCTCTTACGGTTCTTCATGCTGCTTATAGCCTTGGCAACCTCTTCGGTTGTGATCCGAGGGACTGGACCAGCATGCCTTGTGCCTTCTGGAATTGGCGGGTGGGCGAATTCGACGTTGGAGATCTCGCTGAAGTGTTGCTGCCAACGGTTCAGTATCTCTCTCTATATCTCTATGTTGTGCAGGCAGTCGTTGCCCATTTGTATTCTTGACGCACATATAATGTTCAACGTCTCTTGCTTTTGTGCCCGTCCTTTTGCCAATCGGTATATGTTTTTCTCTCCTTCTCTGGTGTCCAGCTGTTCATACAAGTCTCGGTAATGTTCTGCTTTGACTGCAGCTACAGCTTTCTTGGCTTCCTTTTTAGCTCTGGCATAAACTCTCCATTTTTCGGCAGTTTTCTCGGCGAGCCAGTTCTTGTACGCCACTTTTTTCTCCTTCACTTTCTGCTTGACCTCTTCTGTGAATGAACCACGCTTGTTTATCGATACGATGTCGGTTTGGTTCCGTGCTTCCTAACGTAGTTTTGGCCGCCGTTGTAACTGAGTCGCGGAAAGCTGACCACACTTCTTCGACAGAGCTCCCATCAATAGGAGGGAGATCACAGCTACTGGCAATTGCAGCCGCCTGATCAGCTTGCCGTAGTCTCCACCATTTAATTTGATCCGGTCCCATAGACCTGCCGATTTCCTTGTTGCGCTTGGATATCTTCGTATCAGCCACGAGTAGCCTATGCTGTGGTGCCACATGGTCATGAATCCTTGTATGCCGCTTTTTTCTGATGGTGTCAGATGGTCATGCATGGTCATGAGTCACCATACAAGGACTCATGACCATGCAGCACATTACCCACGAATGCGGTTAAACTTCGCACACGGCTGTTCTTAAATACAAACTACCTTTGAAGCATCTTCCCGCGCACGCAAATTTGAACACAAAACAGCATGTGCTGATGATTCGCTGGTGTGATTCTTAGAATGAACAGCAACTTCGTTTCTTGAGCTGTGAGCGCTTCAGTCATTTCAGAAGAATGAGGTGCAACTCTTGCAGCCTGTATTTTAGGCACCTTTGATGTCCTAGAACTGTTTTTATATGAAAGAAACCTCGCACATCGTGCAGTGATACACAGTATACTCGAAATTATAAATAATAACTCCGGAAAATTAGCATCTGCCCGATCACCCGTAAGGAAACTGACAAGCAATATGAAAGGCGAAAACGAAAACAACAAGAAACAACTAGGTAGAAGGAATGATGTGAATAGTATAACAAGCTCTATGCAACGTAACAAATATAGGAAATATTTTGAGGTTGGCATAAGTAGTATTCGTGATTATGAGAGACCAGGCGAAGTGACAGTGGAATGTTTGAAATGTACCTTTTACAAGATCTGGATACTGCTGTATTAAAAGTAGCAGCTCTTTCTGTAGTTTTGGAACTATACAACTAAGCGACTGTGTTAACAGGCAGGATCCCTTTCGCATGTTCCGCTGGTGGCAATTTTTTCGTAATATGATGTTTCTAATTACGCCTTTTGTACTGTTTGTTACCAGTTTGGCTGACGCGCATTACTGCGCGCATGGTTAAACCTATGGTACTGATAACTGACAGGATTTCTGTGCTGAGCACTAACACTTAGCCTAATTCCCATGTTTCGAACGGCCCATTTCATCATGTTTCTCCCTTTTAATGAACATTTGCCAATGTTAGGTTCTTATCATATTTCTAAAAGCACCATTGCATTCGTTGGAAATAGGACAGCATAGCGGTTGAAAGATTTTCGGTGGTAAAAATATCAGTATCATAGTAGCTCTATTATTTCAGTGGCCAACAACTCCAGAAAT